TCGAAACACGTACAGGTGTCATAATAATCATAGATTTTCACTGGCACCGGTTTGTTTTCGGCCACTATGTGCGCACGATATCCTTGAACAACCAGACAAATTTCTTCGTTAGCCAACATTTTCTCGAAGTAAATATGTGCCACCGTTTCAGCGTTTGTTGTTTCAACCAATTTGACATGTGATTTGCCCACGAGCTCAATCAATGGACCATTTTCAATGCGAAAACCAGTTGGCATTTCAACATCCACAATCACCATATTCGAAAGATCTTGAGCATCCTTTGCGTTGAAACTGAATTTTTGAAAAAATAAATAAATAAATAATTAATTTCAAAGAAAAGATTAAAAACAAAGATGCGCGTACCTTGAGCAAATTTTGACTTTCAGTTTACTCCTGCTAATTTCAAGTACTTCTGGCTTCAACGTGAATGTTTCATGGATATCATTCTCTTTTACATTGAATTGGTACGACAATTGAAATAAGGCCGTGCCACGACCGGAAGCGGAAAAACTGATGGAATTTTCATTGACTGGTAAATCGATGGGTTGTAAAGCCAATGCATTTGCGGAGTTCACCTCGATCACTTGTTCACGCGTTGCATTCATTCGAACTTTCAATTGAACATTCTTATCTCCGCTTGATGTGAATCGGCTGTATGTTGCCAATGCCTCCAATCCGATTACAGTATCTTGTGTGCTTGTAAATCCACCTTTGTCGTTGCGTTGCGTCAAAAGCCACCGGAAAAATGGTTGAGCTTCTGAGATTTTTCCAGCTTCAATGAGTGCAAGTAATCCATATGATGTGATTTCAACGTTTATTGATTGTGATTTACTTTGATTGGGCTTTGATGAAGTCCACCATCTCTTGTCCCCTTCACACATAAACGAAAGCAAATTATTTAGTTTTCATAGAAATTAAATTGTTTACATTTTGAATATTCACCTTCGACCAACGCTTTACCGACCAATTTATTCAAGACCTCATCTTTCTTCGTATGATTTGCCAATTGCAAAGCGTATGCTGCGATCGCTTCATCATATGTATTATTCACCCTACGAATATTTCCAGCAATGTTTTCGAGGGCGCGATTGACGGTTTGTTTATATTTCCAATCATTGGATTTCTGTGAAAATTATCAATCGAGTTACATACACAAAATATAACGTTTTACCTAACACTATTATTATCAATGCTGCTTGGAAGTAGGCGCTGAGCAGCAAGTCAATAATGGTATTTTCTTTTTACAATGAAACAATACCTTATTTTTCAAGAAAGCAATTGTGGTGTATGCAGTTAAAGCAATCCCCTTATTCGCTCCACTTTGCATTGCTTTGTCATATACTCTTCCAACTTCAGGAAACATGCCGTTGGGTGTTTGAGCTCGTTTAAGGAATTCAAGAGCTTTGTCAATCACATTACTATCGATATTAATATACGTTTCAGCTTGTTTGAATGATTTTACAACGTATGCCGTTAGCCATGTACAGCCTTTATTGTCACTTTTTCCAAATACACTGAACGAACCGTCATTGAGACGATAGTCTAACTCGCGTTTATATCCCTTTGAAAGATACTCAATGGCTTTATCCTTAGTGGCTTTATCAAGATTTTTAACTGCACTCAAATAATCCAAAACCACAATATCCGGTACAAAATTCACCATATTTTGTTCACCACATCCATAGGGCATTCGAATAAGATTCTGTAAGTTTTTAAGAGTACCACCAATTACATCGCCCAACGCGTATACTTTGGCTTTCAACGAATCCTTAACAGCATTCGCGGGAACATCGATGTGTTGAGTGGTTTCAAATTTGTCGGTTTCACGCAGATCAACAAACACAACTTTGTTCACGTATTTTGGGACTCCTTCTGGATCAACCTGCAAAAGTCTTTCGATGGCATCGCCGGCAATCGGACATTTGGCTATCACTTTCAGTGAAATTTGTCCAACGGAAGTGAATTTGATGAAAAACTTCTGCGTTACACCGTTTGAGTTTGAAGCAACTGACACTCGACGCGTCCGTAACGTTTGATTAGCGCCGTTATCATCGACGAATTCTAATTCTCCATTTTCGTTGTAAAATACTATGTCAGCAGTAACATCCGTGTTCAAATGATTGAATAACACCACCGGCACTGCAACCACTTCGCCACGTTTCACGGAATACGGAAGATTCAAAGACAAGAAAAATGGCTGGAATACATTCAACATCTGTGGATGTTTGGTCAAACCTAAGCCGAATTGGTTATTGACAGAGAAAGCACTCATCACCCACGATGTGATTGTGTCTGGCACTTTTTTGTTAAGAGTTACCACACCATTCGTATTATTCACATCGAAATCTTCCCATAGCCATGTTTCTGGGAATTCAGTACGAATTCGTGGCTGTGGTGAAGAAGTGGGTACAATGGGCTCTGTTGTTGAAGGAATTTCAGCAAAGCGTAGATCAACGTTCAGGAAATTGGTGAAAAAAAGAGCATTGCTTTCGCTGAAAAGTTTCAAATAATAATTCAAATCGATCGTTTCCATGATAGTCTTGAGTGGGCGATATTTCTTTAATTCCTGAACAGCTTGTTCTTTCGTTAAACCATTATCTTCCTTCATCAACAATACGCTCTGATCAACTGCCATTAAACCCACATATGATTCGGGTTTTGTAATCACGTGAATGCTTACAATTTGGCCAGGTTGAGTTTCTTTTGTTGACAATTCCATATTTACAAAGTTTTTGAAAGAATCGCAAAATTGAACTTCACCTTTGGCAGCGAAAATGTTGTCATTTTGGAAATAGTGAACGATTACGAATACGTTTGCCGACACATCGAAATCGGCATTGAAACTAAGGACCTGATTGTTACAGTTTGGTGGTACAACAACCCTCTCAGCATAAACTAATTTCCCATCCACAATCACTTGATACGTGAAATCATCAAGAAAACTCATTGATTTGACTTCAACGTACACCCTTTGATTGAATGTGGGGCTGCGCGAAAAAATGAATTTGCGTTACAAAATTTGAAATTTCATGATATTTTTATATGTTTACCATTCTGTTAAAACGTTAATTTCCAGCTCTTTTTTCTGTGGTTTGAAATCCGTCAAGTTTTTATGTTCTTCCATGTATTCCACCTTAAGAAAATTATTCATATTAACTTTGTAATCAAATCAAAACCAAAAATATATCAATATTATTTACATTTAATTCAAATTCTTTTTCGTCTATTAATGGTAGTGTGGGAACATCAGCGATGCCATTCCCATTCAACTCGAATTTGTATATGAAGGTAGACTCATATTGCCCATCGAAATTAGCATCCTTAACTGTATAATTGACTGTAATCCATTTGGTTTTTTCATTCAAAAGAATTGGTGAATTATCATGATGACTAACGCGGATCTGTGAAAACGTCAAACTACCAAATGAAAATTTTCTTTAAAAATCGTTAAAACTATATTGGACTTACCGCGAATTTTGCGGGTGATCTCAGCTTGATATCCTTACCCAAATCCACTATTTCAATTGCGTAGCGTGTTTTATGAAGTGTTATAATTTTCGATGCACTTTCATTGCGACCAGATAGCAAATCAAAGACTGTTGCTTCTATTTTGTAGGCCTCAGAATCAGCTCTCAAATCATTCCCCACATCAAACTCAACAGTTCCTTTGCCATTAATTGGAATGCTTTTTACCATTGCATCGTTTGTATTATTTAATTTAGTGAGTGATACCATAGCTTCGCCTTTCACTAATTGTTTATAAGTGTAAGTTGCACGAACAATTGCACGAATCTTGCCGTCTTTTGCCGAAAAGTCCATCGGTGAATCAATGGTAACATAGAAATTCGGTAAAACATATTTGGCCACTTCAATTTTTTTCGTTTTGTTCTCCGAACCAACTTGAGCTTCGAATTTCCAATCGCCAAATGATGGCCGTTCGGATAGTTGGATTTCGCTGCTGAATACTCCTGTCTTTGGAGTCACTTTAAGCCAATGTTTAATAAGATTATTCTCTGGATCGGTAAAATAAATGTTGAGAGGGCTGTTTGGTTTCAATGTAGCCGGTTTCAAGCCACTATCGAGCACCAAGACACGGAATTTGACCGTTTGGCCTGGTTTATACATGGCTTTATCGGTTTGAATGAAAATTGAAACTTCTTTCGATTCAATTTTCAAAGGCGATTCATTTCGAAATTTAAGTCCCGAAACGCCTTCTGCCACGAATTTATATCTTTTTGCTACATCCAAATCACCGATGTGCAATGTCGTCATTTCCATTTTATTTGGTGTGATTGTGACTTCTTTTTCATTTTTGTATTGTGCTCCATCTTCAATGCTCAACCGAATGGTGACCGGCTCGGTGTGTTTGTGAAGAGTTAATGAAATAGTGTATTCTGATTGTGCTTTGATGTATTCCGGTGCTACGATTGTGTAGAAACTGTTTGATTAAAAAAAAAATTCAATGAATTAAAATTATTCGAATAATCGGCGATGATTCTACTGTTAAAAAGCAAACGTTTTTGAAGTTTGAAAAAATATTTGTAAATAAAATGAGGTTGTGACTTGACACTTCCCGAGTATCCCTCTTGAACAAATTAAATTTATCCAAATTTTAACTTCAAGAAAAAAAAAGAATATTTACTCTCCCAATTATAGATTGTTTTATCGTTTGTTGAAAAAATACGTTGAATTGCTGGTTAGCTCAAGAATTTGCTATCGGCTCATTTTTCTGTATATATCATCATTCACTTTTAAAGAAAACACATGAAAGTAATTAAAAAAAGTAATTTAACTGTTCCAACAAAATCATTTTCATATTCAATTCGTTCAAGGATTTTACGTGATATTTTAAGTTCTACAAATCTTATCTCTTACTTCTATTCGTGCTGGCAAATTACATTATAAAATAAACGCGCTAATCATTTTTAATCAAAGTACGAAAGGAAATGTGTTCCAAAAAAGTACGAAATATGTTTATATCACTATGACCTTTTTTTATCACAGTAATTTTGTTTTGCAATGCAGATGGTTTCAATTATCACTCTTTCTGTGAAAATCGGGTTAAAGGCATTACTTTATTTAATTCTAATTTTTTTTTTGGACAATTTGTCTGAATGTATATGACTAACAACAAATAATTTGACATAGTCGATATTAATTGAAAATTTATTTGCTCATTTTTAATGAATTTTAAATTTTGTTTCTTCAAACTACTCAGAATAAAAATAATACGTGATTCGAAACGTCGGTATATTTCTAGGGGTAGACACAAATGAGAAAATTAAAAAGAGCTAAAATTAGGACTTATTAGGTCCTGTCAAATGTACACGTTATATACTAAAAAAAATAGGAAAAATTAGCAATACTAAAGCTTGTGCCTCCCCTAGGTATATTTACTTCAACAAGCCCAAAGATTTTGGCTTTCATTTTGATTTAATTTAATTTCGACCGCTGACGACAGGCACAACAAACATATACTGATAATTGAAAACAGAATAAAAATCACGTTCAATTCCTCTATCAAAAATGAGTGAACATTTAAATGCTAATTTAAAATTCTTAATAATTTTTTATTGCATATCGGAGTTGATACTAACCCAGCACAATTCACGCAACCAATGATTGACAATAATAATCCAATCAGCGGCGAAATTCGGTTCATTTTAATAGCTTCTTACTTGTTGTGCGTGAAGATTTAAACTGACTGAAAAAGCAAATGCATTGAACTTTTTCAGGCCTCCCCAAGTGGGAAATACCGACAAAAAGCATCTAATCTTTGAATTGGTTTTTTCGAAAAGAAATGATAACATCAAAATAAACGGAAAATCCCGACACACATCATAAATATATAACAGTGAACTTATGTTTCAACATTCGACAGAAAAATACTATTTTGTGCTAAACATGATAACTTTTAGTCTTCATGCGTCCTTTTGATCAAGTGATCGCCTAATGATAGTCTCGTGAACCAAATTGCTTTACATGGAAACAGCTTTCGCAGAAAAACTAACCAATTTAATCAAAGTTGTATGATTTGAATTCGAGCCATATCGACTTTGGTCTAAAATTCCTTGAAAATACACAGATATTCGGTAATAAGTTGTGCTATAGAGCTACTCTTCACAAGGTCGATCAAATATTCTCGTTATGTTTTTTTTTTCGAAAAAGCTACAAACTGAGCGATTTTAATCGTAAAACTTCAACTTGAGTTACAACGTACAAATCAAGTTGTTTTCAGATTCAGATTATTATCAAAAAATACACCATTTCGTACATTGCAAATTCATTATTTTATTTCATGATAAGAACTTTCGTTCAAATTTTTCGCATAAACTCTAGGGGACGGAAACCATTAGCTAGTTTTTTATATTTCAAGTAAAAACTAGGAAAATTAGAAAAAAACTAGCAAAAACTAGAAAAATTAGCAAAAATTAGCAAAAATTATTTGATCCGCCATTTTGATATTCTGCCATGATTTGGTGACTAAATCAATTTTACAAGTCGACTATTGAAAGAAACAAGTACTTTATGCACGATTTTGTGTTAAAAAAGAATATTTAAACTAATTTTCACTATTATAAGTGTATATTTATTCAAAACACATAAAAATATGTCTGAACAACAAAACGTCAGAATACTTCATTGTGTCAGTACAATCATTTGATTGTCATTTGACAGAACAAAAAACTAGAAAACTAGCAATTTCATAAAGGAATATTAGCATTATTAGATTATTCAAGCAATAAACTAGTAAATTAGCTAAAAACTAGTAAATTAGCTATAAACTAGAAAAACTAGCATTGGTTTCTCTCCCCTAGCATAAACTCAAATTCAGTTATGCATAACTTCCATGGAAGGGGTGTATTCTAATCCATGCATTTTCTTTCGACGAATAGATTTAATTTTAACACAATTTCGAGCATTCTTCACCTTCGCAAATTCCACAAGATGTAATTAATGGAATTTCATAGAATTTTCGTGCACTTCGTGCTGCAAGAAAAAAATAAAAGAAATAATGACATTAATTCAACTTTTTTTTAAAAAGATGTAAACATGATGTCGAAACACGTACAGGTGTCATAATAATCATAGATTTTCACTGGCAC